CAAACTTGAAATTTCATATATTATTCAAAGCGCACATTCTTTATCACCAGTCACGCAATGGCTCAGTGGGCATTGTTTTAAGCCCATCACCCCAAGGGTGTGGTTTCAACACACATGGAAGTCATTCCCTTTCTTTTTATCACTTTTATTTTCATACTTTTTCACAACTTCTATCAATTGTTTCCCTATGCAAAAATCATTATTTTTCAATATTTTTTTCACACTTGTTAATCATCCTCCCTATTATGGAATCCATCAAAAAATCTCAAAAATAATATTTTTTTCTTCATTTTTATTAGGTTGAAAACTTGTGCTTTTTAAAGTGTTTTTCATACCTTTTCATGATTCCTTTTGATTATTCTCTTGACCTAATTGTGCATATGTGTCTGTATGGTTATAATATACTTTATTTAAGTCTTATTGATGTACATAACATGTTGTCTTGACTTATACATACCATGATTAGGTGTTACTTCCTTTGAAAACTACTTTAATTAGATTTTGTTTAGATAGAACTTAGGGCTTTGTCTGACAAATCTTTTGAAAACATCTTGATACATGACTAGGGCTTCCATTTGAGTTTGGATTCCCCAAAGTCCTTGATTCAACCATGTTTAAATGTCTTGCTCATGTTCTTATCTCCATAAATTTTTATTAGGGTTTTGTTTACCCTTTGCTATATTCATCTGATCTTTAATTCATTTTGAATACATGCTTACTTGAACTTCTTTGTGATTGCTTTAATTGATCAAATCATTGCTCACACATTCAAGTATTTCCTTCATAAACTCTCACCATGATGAATATATCTACTTGTCTGATGCTTACTCACATGTTGATATACCATGCTTGATCACAATCATGTTTATTTCATCCTTGATGACTATATTTGTTTAAAAGCTTAATCAATTTTGTCTTGTTAAGTTTCTCTTGACATTTATGACACTTGCATTCATACAATTGTTACATTTCAATACTCATCCTTAAGTTTAGACTCAGTTCAAATTTTAGGATCCTCTTCAAACTATACCTCAGTTAAAATCCTAGGATCCTCTTTGAGATTCTCAACTTGAATAAAACATTATAATTCCCCTTGAAGTTTTCAACTTCATTCAAATCTCAAACCATAGCTCTTTGAGGCTTCAAACCTTCAAAAAACTCAAACCACAACCCCCTTGTGGCTTCAAACCTTCAAAAAACTCAAACCATAGCCCATTGTGGCTTCAACCTTTCAAAAAAAAAAAACTCAAACCATAGCCCCCTTTGTGGCTTCAAGTCAAAACCTAGCCAACCTTTGGCTTCAAACTCAAACTTTTCCCCTAGAGATGAGACATGAATCATCTCTATAGAAGATGTTTCTCTTATATTCCCCACAACATAAATTAAACATTTCAAACTTTTTTTCCATTTAAGTGATGTAAGTGGCACACTTGTTGATTTAAAATCCAAGCTGGAGTCCTTCTCTTATTATGATACACAAACACTTCTTTCATTTAAGTGATGTAAGTGGCACACTTGTTGATTATATATCCAAGTCAAAGTCCTTCTCTTATTATGCAAAGACTCATTCAAAGGAAGACGTGACATTACTCTAGATTTTCTACATCCAAGTTTAAAGCTTCTTCCCTCATTATCTTCTTTCTCAAAATGTTTGTGGTGAATACGTGAGATATCTCCCTTAAGATGAAAATTTGTCTCTTCTCTCAAACCTAACAAACCCAATTCCATCCCTTAGTAGGTGGAACTACGAACGTTCTAATTTCTCAACTTTCTTTTGAGAATACGTAGGCATAAGATTGCGAGATCTTAGTGAGCATAATAATAAGTAAAACCTTTAGGTTCCTACACCTTTGTCTTAGTTTATTTCAACATGCCTTACAAAAACAACAAAATATTTCTCACTCTTATCACTCATTCAAAACAGTCAACAAATTCTCAATACACAACAAATGACTTAATCAACAGTAACACAAATATGCACAAGAGTTCCTATAGGATACTATAAATACTTAGGGTACTAGTACCTTCCCTTAGTATAACCAACCCCAAACTTTTAATCTCTTAATGCATTATTTTACATTGCACACTCACGGGTTTATTTAGATTTTTCCCTTTCCCTCTTTTGGGATAAATTAAAAGTTCACATGTGGGGGGGCGACCTTGAAAACCGCGTGACAGATATTAAGAGAAATTAAAGTGTCAAGTTTTCATGTATATGTCTAATGTAAATGTGCATTATGTGAATGTTATGTGGAAATGGAAATTTGAAATTTGTTATATATGAAATGTGATAAATATTATGCGACTATGAACCCCAAATACTTGATACAATATAAATATAAGAAAATTTTAAAATTCAAGATACAATCCAACTACAACTATGATACTTACAAAAATTTAAAATGCTTATAAATATAACTATCAATGGTAATAAACAAATGTTCACATTATTGAAAATGATCAAAATAAGTGATAATTCTTATTTGCACCAATTAGAATATAGCATAAACAAATCATTAGTTCTATCCCAAAAAATTGGTCTCCATAGAATTGTTTAATACTCATTACTTAATCGTTAACACTAACTATGCTAGTCTCGTTTTCCTATTCCCTTCATCAAGGAACAACATACTTTTCGACTAAGGCTATGTGGAGATGTGAGTGGTGTTTTGGGTGAAAAACCCTAACTTTTGATAGTTATTTATTTTATTTTTTCCATTTACAAAAATAATGTTTAATTGTTGGATACTTTCTTAGTACATATCAAGTCGTACTAAACATGTAGTATTATCGGATTTCTAGTCAAGTAGAATGGAGTAGATAAGAAGTTTCTAGTGTCTGCCTCCCGAGTTAGCGGGCACTACATTTATTAACATGTGTTCAGAGTTATATGATATTAGGAGAAATTGAAGTGTCATGTTTTCATGTATATGTCTGATGTAAATTTGTATTATGTGAATGTTATGTGGAAATGGAAATGTGAAATTCGTTATATGTGAAATGTGATAAATATTATGCGACTATGAACCCCAAATACTTGGTACAATATAAATATAATAAAATTTTAAAATTCAAGATACAATCTAATTACAACTATAATACTTAAAAAAAAGTTAAAATTAAATTTAAAATGCATATAAATATAACTAACAATGGCAATAAAGAAATATTCACATTATTTAAAATGATCAAAACAAGTGATAATTAACTATCTTATTTGCACCAATTAGAATATAGCATAAATAAAATCATTAATACTCATTACTTAACCGTTAACGCTAATTGTGCTAGTCTCCTTTTCCTATTCCTTTCATCAAGGAACAACATACCTTTCAACCAAGGTTCTGTGGAGACGTGAGTGATGTTTTGAGTGAAAAACCCTAACTTCTGATAATTATTTATTTTATTTTTTTCATTTACAAAAACAATGTTTAATTGTTGGATACTTCTTTAGTACATACCGAGTCGTACTAAACATGTAGCAGTATCGGATGCGTGCCAAACAATGATATTTTAACAATTTCGAAGTATCAAGAGTTTTTGTTTAAGTGTCAATATGACCACTTGAACGCATATATTTTATTTAATTGTTATACATTGAATAACGTAATTACTCACCTCTATTGTTTACTTGTGTTTACGTCGTTGTGATGATGCAAATGCTCCATAAGAAACACATGAAACGTAGTTGAGTATTCAATTTTACTTGCATTTTTAAATACTACTTTTTGCGAGACTATTTAATGGTCTATGTGCCAGATATTTATTTATGTATGAATTTGTATACTTTTTTTTGGATAGTTACATTGTGGACATCTGAATACGAATGAATAAATTTTTAAGTTTAAAGGATCTTGCGAAAATTAAGAGAGTTTCATAATACATATGTTCGATGTTTTATATCCATGAACTTAAAGCAATTATTGTTTTGGAGCATGTTCAAAACTGGTATTACACGTGCGAATAAAGGAAACGATAATTTTACATGATACAAGAAAGGTAAGCTAAACGCGGACACCACATACATCCAATAAAGAGAAGAAAAACACATCACTAATGAAAATTGCTTAATTAGACAAGTTACAACTAGGTTTTAAAAGACTACAATGTTTTGAGTAATATAATTCGCTTTGTCAACAAATACCTATTATATATTTTCACTTAACTCACATCTAATCAAACTTATAATTTTCTTGTAATTTAACTTTTATATTTCTAATTGGTAGTTTACTCATGTTTTTATTAACTTAGTAGATCACACAAAATTTAACCTTCTCTATCAAATGACAAAACTTATTCCTTAACATAATCCTTCGACGTTCAAAATTGGTAATCGAATTCTCGACTAATTTTCGTGATGAATAACAATAGGTGTATCTTTCTTTTATATACTACACACAAACTTTAATCATCCAAGTATAATAATTATTATTCTAACTAACCATGCAATTTTTTTAACCAACATTTTGGTCCCCCAACTATCTTATGTTAAATGTGAGAAGACTAATCATTTTTATAAAAAGAAAAACAAACAAAAAGAAAGGAAAAAAAAAGAGAAAAACCCACGCAACACAAAGAAGGGCCAAGAGAGTGTAAGCTAAAGGCAAAGCCTTTGTTATTCCAACAACACCAACTCTTCTCTTTCTCTCTCTCTCACTCTCATTTCACTCTCTCTCCATTTGTTCTCTGATGATCCATCGAAAAACCCTAATCCCCTTTGTTTCCATTTCTGGTTCAATGTATATTTTATAAACCAATTTTCACAATATATATTTTAATTAACTCCGATTTTGTTCATATCCGGTTTTCCTCAAACTGGGGCACTCATAAAAACGCTTGATCACATTTCTCCTTATGTAAATTCTACATTTTTAATTTATTTTTTTAATTTTCCGGCTTCTATAAAAAACGAGATTCTCCTCATTTTTTTGGTCAAAAAAATCATTTTTTTTTGCTTATACTTGTTGAGGGTTTTTCTGTGAGTGCCTCTGAGTTTCACCATGGCTGCTGCGGTTGTTGCTGCTGACATTTCAACTGATGCCAACAAAATGGACTCACAGGCCAAAGCTGAATCTGAATTCAGTGTTCAGAAGCTGGTTGACATGTTCACAAAGCTGAATCCTTTAGCTAAGGAGTTTTTTCCTTCGTCTTATGGTCCTAGCAATGATCATCGTCGTCAGGGGTGTAATATCGTCAGACCAAACAATTTTTTGGTCAACACTAAGGCTTCACCTAATGATGATCATCCTAACAATCGAAGGGTATGATTCGTTTTTCTTTGATCTCTCATTTTTGATGTGTTGGTTTTGTAGTTTTGGTTTTTTGTGCTGGTTTTTGTGATGGGTTTTGCTCAATTGTTTGGCATTTGTCTTGTGCTGATTTTAGTGATGGGTTGTGCTGATTTTTTTTGATGGGTTTTTGCTGAATTGTTTCACATTTATGTTGTGCTGATTTTTGTTATTGTGGTTGTTGTGCTGCTTAATATTGGAACTCTTGATATTTATACTGAGAATTTTGGTGCAGCTTTGATTTGTTATTTTGTGGTAAAAAAAAAGATTGAATTTTTAATCGATTCGGTGAAAGGAAGTTGGATGGAAACCATGTGTCTAGAATTGTCGAATCAGATTGTGAAATCTGTTTCACTGCTGGGAAAATCCATCTGCTGATAATCTATCTAAATTATGTTTCTGGTATTTGATATACTTATGTGCAAGGTTTTGAATAGCGGTCACAGTCGTGTAAGGTTTCGGTCGGTACAGGTGTTGTGACACTGATTGCAGTTGTCACGGTGTGAATTAACCACAATTTGTTCTTTATCATAAAAATGGTGAATAACGGTATCGGCACTGTCTGATACTCTTTTTTCGCGGGGATTTTTTAAAACCTTACTTTTATGCATTATTTATGTATTTAGTTTTTCTGTGTTATTTGTTTGTAGTTTATTTTTACCTAATTCGCCGTTACTACACTGATAGCATTTGTGGCCTCATTTTGTCGCAATCTTCGGCAATTTCAGTAATCACAACGCAGCTGCATTTACGTTTATAAAACCACTGTTACTGGCAAACATGTTTTTTCCCTCGTATTTTCAGTTTACGTAATGTTATGCAGCTAACTATGACTTTTTACGTTACGATACAATATCTTGTAATCTTTTCACCTATTCATGATTGAACCGAAATTGATTATATGATGCGTATCGTGCTATGATGACTTATGACTCTCTTATGTGAAAACTGGTGTATCTGATGAAATAAATATGCCAATACTTGATAACATTGAGTTAGCAGTTTATGTCTGAGTTAATTCTGATATCGTCATTCTCTTTGTGTTTACTGAATATTTGTATTGTCATCTTGCAGAGAAGAAACAACTTTACTCAAGGGAGGAGAAGGTTGAACGGAAGGTCGCTGAAGGCTCAGAGAGAAGACAGCGTTAGGAGAACAGTTTATGTTTCTGATATTGATCAGCATGTAAGTGAAGTGACAATAGCATGAATAAAAGCTTATGTTGATATTGTGTGTTTAGTATTTGCTTTTGAGAATTGGAAACCAAATTATTTGAACTCTGTCTTATCTTGGTCTAGGTTACTGAGGAGCGGCTTGCAGCCTTATTCACCAACTGTGGACAAGTAAGTTACGAATCTTCATTGGTAGCTTGGTTAGTTATTATTATTATTATTTTTTAATTTTAATTTGATTATAATAGGTAAAAACCGTTACATTGCTTAATCATTTTCAACTATGGTATTAATATTGCGGTATATCTATGTTGTTGGAATTTCGCCTTTCCAATTATGCGATATGTTGAGCATTAATGATGTGTGCCTATTATGACAATTTGTTATGTGGGATTTTGTCGCTTTATCTATGATTAACACCGTCGATTTCTTCATTTAGCTACGTGGAACGTTCCTTTCTTTTGATTAAATATATGTTTATTCTTGATTAAGTTAATCTGAGTTTGTTACGAGGTTATGCCGTTATTTTTTCAATTTTCTCAATTAAACCCATTAGTTTATTCTAAACCTCGTATAGAAGGAATGTGTACGTGTAACTGATATGGAGTTTATGCTTTTAAAATGCATCTAGATCGTCTTTTGAAATTATTTTATTGGTAAAGTAAGTATATAAAAATCAAATTATTTGTGAAATATATGAGATTAATTTATCGTATCAGCTAAACCTCTCGTATCTTTGTCTGAATAAAATGCAGATCTGTTTATTCTGAGAAATCTTATTTGATTATTGCTTTCACTGACCTTAATTTGAACATTATGACCTTAGATCGAGCAGAGAAACCCCTTCTTCCAATCCCGCCCCACACACACGCCCATTCCTAAAAGCCGTGACCGCGGTCGCTATCCATAAATCACATGGTCACAAGCTGTGTTGTTTACTATCGGCCGCCATGGCCGATTTGTGAAAGATGGCAGTGTCATGTTGTTTTATGGCTGCATAAAATGGAGAAGTTTTTGCTATCTGCAATCGATAACACTGGTCACAGCACACAGATAAAAGATAGGAGTTTTGCATCAGAAGAGGCAGGGAGGTTTGTATTGCATATACATGGAGAGTTTCACACTGCAAAGACTCGCAGAATGGTAGATAGCGGCATTGTGTTTTTCTGACCTAAATATGTTGTTCCAAACCCTTAAATGCTGTGTTTTATGAACGGTGTTGTGTAAGCTGACCCTCCTTTTCAAGAACGAAACGGATCAACAATCATGTTTCCACAAGCAGGAACGGAAAACCTATGACAATCCCATTCAACGGCGTTTCGATAACCAATTCAACACTGGATGGATACTCATAGGATTATGCGGTTTTACGAGTTAAGACATGATTTTAACAATATTGATTGACATGTTAATTATGCCTGTTGAATGATGGTGATTGTGTGTCAGTCATTAGAGACTACGGATTTTGTTATCTTTTACTAACGATGACATCTCTTCTCTTGCATACTATCTAAATTTTTAAACTTGAAACATAGATCTCACCATTAGAAAATCACCGTGTTTAAATTATTAACATTTTATTGCATCATTTGAATTAAAGGTGATTGATTGCCGAATTTGCGGCGATCCTCATTCAGTTCTTCGATTTGCTTTTGTCGAGTTTGCTGATGAGCGTAAGTTTTTGTCCTTCGAATCTCTATCTCAGTTCTTAAACATTTCCAAAAGATATGCAGTCACACACACACAAACAAACAATCATTTTTCAACCGATTTCATGCTTTTTATGATGGAATATATGTGAACAGATGGTGCAAGGGCAGCTTTATCCCTTGGCGGTACTGTGCTTGGATACTATCCAGTGAGGGTCCTTCCCTCGAAAACTGCTATCCTTCCTGTGAATCCTACATTCCTCCCTAGGGTACGATTACTTTCTGATCCTTTCTGTACTTAGCCGTATTTGGATGGAAAATAGTTTAACCCTTTGGCATATCGATTCTCTTAATCTATAGCGTATATTTACCATTTTTTTTCATAATGTGCAGTCGGATGATGAGCGGGAAATGTGTACCAGGACTGTGTATTGTACAAACATCGACAAGAAGGTACATCATTATTCATTTGTTTTGGAAAATTAGTGTAATGGATATTTTTGGTAAAATTTTTAACTGACCGATCAATGTGTGGTTAGTAAGTGGCGCTTCTTGGATCAATTAGCAATTTTAGCGTGTTTACTAAAATAACATAATGCATCTATGAATTTTCGTAATCGAACCTCTTGATGAATTGGTAAATTTCTATCAATTATCTGAGTGCAGATTTCTCAAGCTGAAGTGAAGAGCTTTTTTGAATCATCCTGTAGGGGCGAGGTCAGACCATGATAATCATTCTATGTTATTAGCTTAAACTTATTTATCTCAAATGTTAAATGTTGGTTGACACTGTTTTTCTATTTCATAGGTTACGCGCTTGAGGCTTTTGGGGGACCAAGTGCATTCAACTCGAATTGCTTTTGTGGAATTTGCAATAGTAAGTTTTTACTTTCCATGTTCTCTGTCTTGAGGCTTTTAGTGATGTCATTTGTGATGTGCTGCTTCTGCCATTATTATGTTAGCTTGGCGTCAGAACGACCGATATATTGACCGACCGTTTCTTTTTTTCTCTTCTTGCATAGGCAGAAAGTGCCATCCTTGCACTAAACTGTAGCGGCATGCTCTTGGGAACCCAGCCTATCAGGTTTGATACCGATATCGTTGGAGTATAGTTTTTGTTATATTAGCTTCAATATGAATAAGTTTGATCTTATTTAATTTTGCTTCTGATTCTGCAGGGTAAGTCCTTCCAAGACTCCAGTGAGGCCAAGGGTCACTCGTCCAGTATCGCGTTAATCGATCGGACATTGTCCTACCTAAACTTGAGAGGGTATTTAGTCAACTTTCCGGTTGAGACTTTTGCATGGAAGGGGCAGTGAAATTGCCGTTTGTTTCTGTATTTCCATCTTTTTCTGTTACAACTGTTGTTACTTTTTTGTTGCCAGAGCTAGCCAGAGCGTTTAGATTTTCTGCTCTAACTAAACTTTTTAGGTACACCAGTCTTGGTCTTGAACTATTTTACAACCATGTTTACATTTAAGTTATTTAGTTTCAGTTTCTTGGCTATTTGGAGCCAGGACCAATCATGGTTTTCACCGGTTTAAATGCTTTGTGAATCATGGTAGAGTAGTGTTTTTCACTGGTTTGAATGTTTTGTGTGAATCATGGTAGAGTTATGTTTTTCACCGGTTTGAATTTTTTGTGAATCATGGTAGAGTCATGTTTTTCGCCGGGCTGAATCTTTTGTGAATCATGGTAGAGTGTGTTTGGATAAGCTGGCTTGATTAAACGCTTGGAGTATAATCGGTTATCGAACAGGTGCATATGTGCAAAATATTTTTATAACAAAGTATAAAATAAAGTCAAACTGTTTTCATATAAGTTATAAACTATTTTTGCGGTGTTGTCATAAAGTTGTTTCATAAGTTCTAAAAGATGAACTCAAGCAAGCATCTCCCAAGAGATTGATTTGAATCACATGTAGACACTATAGCATGTAGATATAGATAGTCGTCTTAGGTTTTCGGAAGTTTAGGTCTTAGGTTTCAGAAGTGTAAGTAGGTTAGTCAGAATTGTCTCGGAAGTTTAGGTCTTAAGTTTCAGAAGTCTAAGTAGGTTAGTCAGAACTGTCATTATGTAGATTAATTATGATTTAGCTTTGGTATATCTATGAGTTATTCTTTAAAAAATTATTATCTATTTTTTATTATAAATAAAATTTGATTTTTTTAATGATCAGAAACATTTGGTTTTAAAAATTAAAGATTATTTTTTTCAAATTTAAAAATTTAAGAATAATGGATTTGAGTAGATGATGTTTTAAAAGTTGAGAATCCATTTTCCTACAATATTAGGATGAAATAATTCTTTTAAAGAAAATGATTTCACTATGTACCTTGATAGAGATTATGTATAGGACGAATCTTTGCTATTAAGAATAAAAGAGGATAACATTCATGGAGAGATTTGAGTGGATCGTGAAAAACACTGGATATAAAATTATTGCGTTCTTGCTTGGTAGAGAAAGGAAAGGTCCCCCCAGGTAAAGAATGTGCATAGATATTCGAACATATGTAATGAACAACTTTTTATAAAAATTTAGTTTAAAGATGTTAGGAATCAATCCATATACTTTTTTGATATCTATCTATCTATCAAGGTATTTGATATTCCTTTTGGTAGAGATGCTTGTTTTTTCTTTGCATTCTAGCTGGAATTATTCTAATCCTCTATGCTTCTTTTATCAATGTCGGCAAGAGGAAAGATAGGTTAGGTGTTTGGATTTTTTCAAAACTGTGATTTGTGGTGGTAAATGTTTGTATGAAATGACAGAGATCTCGTCTAATTAATATAATTTGAAAGTGAAAAAGTTGCATCATTTGAATACCGAATACAGACTCCTGTAAAACCTCTATAAACATGGATAAAAGTTGCAAAATATTTATAAATAATATGAGATATAATCGATGTCACTCCCGAAACTGAGATTGTGCCGACTGTTGCACTTTGCTTTGGTGACCTAGTAAGACACTCTTTAGTAGCATGTCCATCCTTTTTGCAAAAAATAGAATTTTTTGTATAGTTGGAGGAATGATGTCTATAGCGATTACAACATAAGCATTGAAATTGATCATATCATGGTTTCTTGACCTCCCTTGTACATCATATGCCCACTAGAACAATAGATTTCTATGCTTTGATAACATATGCCCACTAGAACAACAGATTTTTGTGCTTTGATAAAGGACAATGTAAATTAGGGGTGGTCAAAAATATGATTAACTGAATTTATTTAAATAGTTAATTAATAAAGAATATAAATCGGTTCAGAACCAATTTTCTTTTATAATATCGATTTTTTTGAAAATACGAAACATATTATTTTTTCGAAAATACGGTAAATTGATTTTTTTCTTTCAAAAATACGAAAAAATCTAGTTTTTTCATAAATATAAAAAATAGAGTTTTTTGAAAATATGAAAAAGTCGAGTTTTTTTTTTTCAGAAATATTAAAAAATCAATTTTTTTTCTAGAAATATGAAAAAAATCGAGTTTATACGAAAATATAAAAAGTCTAGTTTTTTCGAAAATATTAAAAAATTTAGTTTTTTTCGGATATATATGAAAAAAGTTGAGTTTTTTCGGAAATATGAAAAATTCGAATTTTTTCTAAAATATGAAAAAAGTCGAGTTTTTTTTCGAAAATATGAAAAAGTCGGGGTTTTTTATTCAGAAATATGAAAAAGCTGAGTTTTTTCGAAAATATGAAAAAGTCGAGTTTTTTTGGAAATATTAAAAAATTGAGTTTTTTCAAAAATATAAAAAAAGTCGAGTTTTTTCGAAAATTTAAAACAATAATGTTTTTTAGAAAATATTAAAAAGTCGAGTTTTTTTTGAAAATATAAAAAAATTGATTTTTTCCAAAAATTACGAAAAATTGGATTTTTTTAGAAACTCAAAAGTTCGATTTTTTTTTCGGAAATGTGAAAAACGAATTTTTTTTTCAAAAATATAAAAAAAATCAAGTTTTTTTAGGAAAACCGAGAATTTTTTTTTCGAAAATACAAAATATAAAAATAAAAAATTAAAGAAATATATAATTTTTTTTAAAAATAAATATTTTTTAATATAAAAAAATTTAAATTTGTATGAAGTTAAAAATTTTAGTTTTAAATGAGTTCAAAATATATAATTGATTTAAAATTCTAATTTGATTATAAATTAGTTTATAAATATAAATTAGTTCTAAACTAATTTTAAATTAAATTAAAATCATTTTAATAGTTAACTGGATTTTTATTGAAACCGTTATTCCAAACTGAACCAAATCATAAATGTGATTCGACAGTTCATGAATCATAAACACTCATAATATAAACAAATGTTGTTCTCCACGTAACAGATAACTGATAAACAAATCCAAGTTAAATCTTAGTTTTTTAAGAAATTGATCTTATTCAGTAGTATCATGAATTACTTGTATTGTACTTAGACCATTAATGCTCAAATTTAATAAACTATAACAGCATGTTCAACCCAATATACTTGACTTAGAGAGTAAAAGTCAGATATAGAGAGATGTTATCTATATCGTGCTCAAGTTGGAATCTTCAAGATGCATTGTTCTTACCGTAGATTTTCTTCAAGTAAGCCCACAATGTTCTTGCAGTTTTGCAAGGTGGAAGGGTTGAAAAAATATTGAGAATTAGACACCATGCGAATTTTCTATACTGCTCCTAATTTTTTGGAGATATATCTCCGCACACCCTTTTTTTACATTTAAGGAAGACAATTCTGAAGGGCGCCTCACGCATTTGTTAAAGATTTATTCCGAAGATATATCTCCGAAACCATACCGTAGTTATATTTCCGGAACAAAATTAGAGACAGAATCAACATAAAATGAACTTTCCAAACATAAAATGAACATTCATAACATAAAATGAACATTACAATGATGATTTCAATAGAAAATTGCACATTCTCCAAGATATCGTCGACCGATCTTCGTAGTGTATCTTCCATCTCGAGCAGAACTTTCTCTTCAAAACCAAAAAACGTTCGCACATCGCCATAACATCCGCTTGAGTCTTGAGCTCAAATTTTCTGAACACAATGTTCCCTTTGTTGTCAACCGAGGGTGAACGGTACTCAAGTCTGACACTCCTTCGTGTGTCCCAGTAAGGTAGAACATAATGGATTTCGTTTATGATATCATCGAGGGAGGTGAGATCGGTGAGATTGAACACCCTTCCGGATGTAGAGGCGCCGAAGTAGTAGGCACTTGTGACATACCAACGAATGTTTATTTCACACATTTGAGACATTTTGAGTTTGTGTGAAGTATAACACAAGAACATCCAAATTTATAGAAGACCTAGTTCAATAAGGACCACTCATTAACTGCCATTCATACTCTGGATATATATCTCCGGAACGACACCCATTATCTTGTTCCGTAGATGCATCTTCGGGGCTTTCTCTGAACCATTAAAAAACAAAGCAAATAAAAGAACTTTTCGGAGATGTATCTCTGAAACTTTTTCTAATACATTTTTAAAACAGAATCATATGACAGAGAGTTGAGAAAGACTAAATATGCACCAAATATGAAGAATACGTGAATATGTAATACTTCATTTATATTGAGACACACTTATATAGAATTCTTTGTCCGATTACACAAAAAATCAAAACGAAACAAAACATGTGTCCCTAGATAAATTTATAGGTGGTACTCCCTTAGAATTTTGCGCATTCGATTCCTTTTCAATGTTATTCAATCTATCGAATTCTTACATCCTTTCTATAAAATGATCCAGCCACGTCTCGACATTTGCGCTTGAATGAGTCGTCCATTCTGGTGATGTAGGTGGTATGGGGTATCCCGATTTCAAGTAAACTTGAACAAAATGACTTGATTTTGAAAGCCATCCAATACACATGATGCGATCGTTTAGATTTTGGGGGTGGTGCGGTGCGGAATGGAAAAAAAGGTTTTTGAAAACCCGTAGCGTGTCAGGTCAATGCACTCCGTATCATATGCACATGCAATTAGGTGACCCATATCTGGGAAGCTCATTCATTTTAACTTCGGTGCCAGACCGCTCAAGTAAGGAACAAGTGACTCATAAACCGTATCAATTTTTTTTCGTACAACTGCGTGTATGTTTCCTTATGCATCTTCAACTCTTGGATAAATTGATGACGAACTAGCACATGACTATCTTCTCCCTTACCAAGTAAAGCCGAAACGGCTCGGTAACTGCAATTACCGCCTCCCACAACTTTGACGA